TATATATATATTTCTGACCTTCTTTTCAACAGGTATTAACAAACTCTTTATCCCTCTTTGATATTACAGAAATCCCTTCAGCCCCTTATTTAATCCTTTTTCAATCATCAAATCCATAAATAATCACTTCACTTTTTTCTATTTTCAGCAAAAAGTCCATAAAAGGTTTCCAGTATTTTAAAAAAGTACTTATTTTGTCCCTGACCAGACAGGTCAGTGTTGCCATTTCTGCCAATTCTGACATCTTCACAATCCATTCCTCCATTGTTATTTATACAGTAATCTTGCTGTGGTTACCATATAAATCAGTCTTCCATGAGTCTTTTCTAATTGGCTGTCCATAAGTCCCAATGAAAAGAGGTCTGGCCTTTTCTCAATATTAATCTTTAAAATTATTTGTATCATTGTATGTATTTGTATCCAAAATTTTCTGGTTTTTTCACAAGTCCACCAGGCATGGTAAAATTATCAAAGATGTACGAAGGTACTTCAAGCCAATGTTGGAAATGTGAAAAACATGAATGGATATTTAAGCATCTTGGGTTTCAAATGGTATTATTACCAGGGACTTGCATTTGTATGAGAGCTTGATATATTCATGCTGTTTTTGTGGATAGGGAACTTTCACTCTCTTAAACTGCAGGATTCCTCTGAATTCCAACTCAGCCAAGTAGCCTGATGCTCCACTTATAGTTGGCCTATTGCTGATTATTTTTCTTTAGTTTTCACCCTCTGCTTACTTCATTTGGGCAACAGTAAGTGTGTGCTGCATGGATGGTAAGATAGGAAACAGTTCTACAAACAACTAAAACAGCCTGGATCTGTTATGCTCTTCTCAGTGCCTGAGAAAAAGTTGGATGGTTTGAGAAATACTGCAGGTTTAGAACATCTGCACATCCTTCCATTTTCTGAAAGCGTTTTGTGTTCCTAATGATTTCAGAGATAATCTGGGTCTCAAAAGTGGAAGTATTCTGGAGATTTATGTAACCTAATCAATTTTTAAAAATCTGGCCTGATAAGTCTTTGTGAGAATTTTGGGCTCAACTGTCCAGAGCTATACTGAAAAAAAAAACATTGGGAGAGGGACAAGCAAATCATATGAAAATGCCTTGAACAGTGCATCAGCACTTCCAATGTGCCATTGCAAATCCTTGAGATCTTCATGTTTGCATACTTAGACTATGCATCTAATATATTATGCATAATATAGTCTGTGCATCCATGCTGTATAAAAATATGAATATCTGCAGCCTTATAGGGCTTGAGCAATAGAGCAAATAAGTGATGATTCAATCCCCTGGTCTTAAACAAACAAACAAAAGCAGATGACCTGCTTTCCTGTCCAAAACCAGTCACTAATTATCACAAATTGTGAGAAGAGGAGACAATGCGCACAGAATAAACTAGAATCTCAGATCATGGGTGTCCATCGGGCAATCTGGTATCTTACGTGAAGTATTTTCTTCTGGGGTTGATATGCAAAACCTTTGGAAACTCTGGCTGAGCTCTGCATGTATGCAGATTGTTCTGGTGGTTATAAGTGCTGACAGTACCCAGCTTTTTAAAAGTAGGAAAGTGGAAAGCAATTGTGCAAATGAAGCATCCAGACACGACATAGCTTTGAAAGGGATGTTCTTCAAAGTCAGCTGCCTGAGGAGCCCTGGAACTATCTGGGCTCAGATTCTCCAACTCACTAGTTAGTCATGACAGTCGCAGCTGTTCTGAGGGGGCGCTGGGAGTTACCACTGCAGGATGACAAATTAAATACTCTGCGGCAGGCCATATTTTTCATTTCAGGAAACAAGACGGTGAGGCAGAGTTTCCACATGGAGAGATTTCTTTTGTCTTTTAGACTCTGCACATAATCATGGGTAACACTTTGGCCAACAACTGCTCTTTATTTTACTTATCTGCAATACGAAGAAATGGTTGCAGTGCTGAAAAAAAAAAAGCACAAAAGCAGATTCTTTTTCTGAGCATGTTTACTGAGTCTTTGGATGAGGGTTGGGCAGAGGGGAAAGGACTGGCCCAAAGTCACCAGCCAGGTTTCATGCCTAAGGGAGGACGAGAACTCACCAAACCAGCATTACTATCATTAATTTACATTTAAAATTAATTTAATTTAAATTTTAATTTAGCTAAAATTAATTGGTATTTTAATATTATACTACCTGACTTCATTTTTAGGTGCTTCCATTTGAACTATTTGAACTGACATGAAGATTCTTTTCTTACTAGTTCCCTCTCCATATGCTTGCGTTAGAAAATGTTAATCTTGGAAAATCACCTACCTGCATCCCAATCACCGCATAGATAAAAAACAGCATCACTATTAACAGAGCCACATAAGGGAGAGCCTGAAGATAAACCAAAAGTAGGTAACAATGAATCATTTATTAAGAAAACTAGCTTTTTGGAACTTGGGATATTCCCAGAAGCTCCCATATTGAAAGCACCTGAGAGAAAAAGCCCGGAGGCAAATATGCTTTGACTGTACAATCTGCAGCAGAGTACATATAGATGCATTTACATATGACAGTGTATCAGAAAGTAAAAATCTAGATGATCTTGTGCACCTCCCTTTTAAAAATTTTGTGCATACTGTCATTAATGTAATGTATTTATTTCTCCACTAGATGTCTCTACTGATCCATTGTTTTTGCCATAACTAACCCTTTTAACAAAACTGTTCTACCTCACTTAAGTCATTACTATTTCTTTTTATGTTAATATTTTTTCTTAGAAAAACAGTGCTTGATACCTATCATTTATCAGATCTGTAAAGATTTATATACAATATTTATTTCTCTAGATAATGATTTCAGCATTTTCAGTTGTAGTAAGAACAGGTCACAACTTTAATCACCATCACTCTTCCCTATTTAAAAATCATGTGCGCCAGCTGTTACACTGACTAATAATTTTTTAAAAAGCAAGCTAATAGCTAAAGAAAGATATAGTCAAAAATTTTAAAATTAGGCACACCCAATAATTGCAAAAACTATTCTGTGTAGAAATATAGATCCAATATTTTGGAATGCAATATTTTGGAATACATACATATGGGGAAAATGATATTGTAATTCACTCAATAAGAAATTATTTGAACTCCACTAATTTTGTTTCCATCAATAGGCATGGAGCTTTATAAAGAGAAATTGTTGACTGTAGTAGTCCAGTGGATGTTGGACTCTGATCATATTTCAGAGATAATGCAGAAACATTGCTTCCTGAAACTGAACTTACTATCATTTTGTTCCACTTAGACAATCAAATTTCATTTAGCTATGATTGTCTGAGTTACTTCCAAGAGGTAATAATCTTACTCAAGAGTTAAATCCCTCTTGCAGCCACCATGTTTCTTTATTACATGGGCACATGTAAATGTTATAAAGAATTATGTAGGATGGAACTGGGAATCTAGAAACTTCAGCAAGAGATGTATAGAGCATACGTCTGGAAGAAACACTCTACATATAGAGACTTGGTATACTGCAGAAAGGGCTCAGTAGGTTTGATGTGGACTGGAGACTGCTAAATATGTATTTGCCTGGGACCTTATCCAAAGACTGGGGTCTGTCTTCTGGTCAGCTGTATTCTTTTTCTTTCATATATATGTGTGCGTGTGTTATTTTCTTTTAACATTATAAATCATTAGCCGCTCAGAGTTGCTGTGGAGTCAGGCGGCCTTGAAATTGAAATAATAAATGAATAAATAAAGGTATAAACATTTTAAAGCAGCGATATTACTAAAAAGGGCTGGAGAATCTCTGGGAATTTCTGCTCCAGCCACAATGAGATCTCGGTTAGTTTTGTGGCCCCCTGCCTAGATTTCATGCTGGTGTCTGTAATTCTATCATGTCAGCTGGAAAACAGGACCAAGGTATGCATAAGGGTTTGGGTCTGTTGCCATTTTTGGACTGAGTCCAGTTGCCAGTAATGGCCATAGATCAGCCTTCCCATACCTGGTGCTCTTAAGATGTGTTGGGACTACCACTCCCATCATCCCCAGCCAGCATGTGGTCCAACACATCTGGAGGGTGCTATATTGGGGAATGTTGCATAGGTGAATGATTCCCCAATGCATCAGCAAGCTGACCTGATGGACGGAAAGTGCATCACCTTTATTTTAATATAAAAACAATTTTACTATAAATTGTTGTATTTACTTGTTGTCTTAACATCTTTATTGACAGGAATCAAACTCTTTCAGTTTAGAGTCCAATAATTTTGCATTTGGAGAAGTGCATGAAATCTTACAAATTAATTTTATTTTAAAAAATAACTGTTCACTCGCCTACGTTTGAGTTTCAAAATCCTCCACCCCACCAGGCTTCATTTTCATTCCATCCATCCTAATCCTGAGATACCTGTATATAGAAACTAATTTTCCTGGGCAGAAGCCATTCAGAGATTGTTGCTGAATCCTATCTAAATATGTAATGCAAGGAGCCGACTGAAATGTCACTGCTGTCCTGAGATAAAGCCACATAAAGCAGAATAAAGGAATACCTGGAAGGACTTGATGAAGGTCCAGAGCAGCGTGCGGATGCCCTCCCCTCGACTCAAGAGCTTCACCAGGCGCATCACACGGAAGAGTCGGAAAAAGGTGATTGAGATGCGAGAGTTGTCCTCTGTGTTCTGGAACCCATTGGCACAGAGGGCAGTAGTTACAACAGCAGATGAAGAAAAGCCACCCTGGGCCACAGAAAATGCGACTTCATAGGAAGAGCTCACTGCACTGTTCCCCTGCCTTATAGCCCCCCAATCTTTTACTACCCTAAGCTGTTTTCTAGGTCCCTATGGCTAGTCTATATATTCCACATCATTCTGAGTTCTCTGTGGTTCTTCAGGGGCATTTTAAAAATTACTGTCCTAATTTTAACAAGAATAACTTGCCGGGGCCTTGCTAGTAATGTGAAACCACTTTTCACCTACCCCATTGGTTGAAGGGTCATGACAAATAGTGAGGCATAGTATTTGCGTGTGAAATTATTTAGTCTGCAAAACTTATGCATGCAGTTATGTTTTTCTCCACAATACAGAGTGAAATTATATTTCACAATATAGTGAAATCAGTATAATTAAATCATAGAAGTGTAGCTGCAGTTTACACTGTATCAGGGATTTAAGAAGGAATATCCCAGATATGTGCCTCACTTTTTAAAAACAGTGCACCCACAAATATACCACATTGGTTGGTTGGGAGAAAGAACAATGGCTATTTATACTCAAGTTAGTGAAAATGGATGCGGTTAGGTTTGTATAAAAATATTACATATGTCAGATAGGATTCTTCCTCCCTTGTACTGAAAAAAAGTGACACCCCACATCTGGGGAGTTTGGAGGGAATGTGCAGTTAAATGAAATCCTGATGCTAAGGTGCAGTGTAAGCAGTCTATGCAGAACGTGTTTCACTTTGTTGCACCGCTGAATAAGCAGCTCCTGACCCAAAAGGAGGTAGCGATCTTTAGCCATATGGAGCAACAACACAGCAAGAAGCACTCAATCTAAACTGGGATGAGGGACTTAATGAGGCATAATAGCCAAATTTCTTTTCCCTGCAGAAATCCCACAAGAGTTGATGCGTAAGTTGTACTTGGAAGCAATATAATGCCTCAAGCATGTTTTTATGGGGTTTCTGCAAGGGATAGTTTTAACTTTATCTCTGATAAAGGGATGTTCACTTTATCTCTATTTAACCTTGGCAATATGAGGAACAATAGCCATTTCAAACTTTGCTTCTAAAAGGAATTCTTTTCAATGTGTACCATATTATAAAAAATAAATCCAGTTAGAAGGATCGAAGATGAGACAGTACTAGTGCTTCTTGTGTTTTTCTGTAGTTTCATACTACATCTTCACTTGTTTTCCCTGTCCCCAGTTTTATTTCTCATGACCCCTGGGTATTTCCCACAGCCTGGCCGCTGCCCTGATAATACAGTTATTTTGGCCTGCTGCTACTGTTTAATAGTTCCTAGAGTTTAAAATAGCTTTTTTTTCTAAGTGGCTTCTGATGTTCTCACAGCCTAGTCCCTTAGCATAGGACTCCTCCATCCTATTCCCTTTGGGGCCTGTGACTAATATGAACATTCCTCTTACTGCACTAAGCTAGGATAAGCCTGAATCATGTAGGGTCAGCTAGTTTTCTTTGGCTTTTGTGAGAAGGCTTCCTACCAAGCAGGCTGCTGGTAGGGAATTGGGAAATGGTATTACTAAACCATACTAAGGTAGACTAGTGAAGGATCCAGAGTTTTAGTACCCGAAAATATGGTCTAGTTCTTCTACATATGTGTAGAACACTGCCAGATTTCAGAGGAAGTAATAGTACATTATTCCTTCCTCTTACACTCCTCAATCTTCCATGGCTGCAAAACCAACAGTTTGATGCTATATAATCTATAATCTATCATTATCTATATCTATCTATCTGTATCTATATCTACTCTATATCTATCTATCTATCTATCTATCTATCTATCTATCTATCTATCTATCTATCTATCTATCTATCTATCTATCTATCT